AAAATATGTTTAAGAACTTATTTCTAAATAGTAATAATCTACATACATATATATAATGTATAGTAATGGAAATGTGACTGTATTTTACAAAATACTAGTCTACTAAAACACAGCCAAGACAAGTTACAGTTTTATGTTATTTGATACAGTAACATGAGTGCACATGAGACACATCATTGTAATTTCTATATTGTTAGCCAGGCACGGCTGAAAGGTCAATATCATAAATATATATAAATGTATAATGCAGTTTCTTGCATATTTAAGTTATTGTCATCTGAATACAGTAGCAAAAACAATAATAATATTAAAACTACTGTAAGTTTCAGGCTCGATTATTTAAAAGAACACCTTTTCAAGTAGCTTAATATACATTGTGATACATTTATATCTGTCTCTCCAAAGTCAACATCCTTATTGTCAACTTATCTACCTACAGTGTGTCAGAAATTCTGATCAAAAGTTAACAGTGTATATACATAGTAGAATTAAAAACTGAGTCATTAAACAAATGAACTAAGGAAATTTTGAAATATACAAATTCAAGCTTCAGACCGTTACTGTTTTTTAAACTGTATCTAAAATGAAAACATTTTTTAATGTGTAATTGGGATCTTTTTGAATATCTTTGCTGTTGAGTTTGTTTTTAATAAAAAAGTCTGTAGAATTCTTCCCAGGCTCTGTATGTTCATTGTGTTTGAAATAAGTACCCATTAAACTTGTTTTGTTGTTATTGTAGGAACTATGTGAAACAAAGAAAGATGTACATGAAATTGATTCTTCCATCCCACATAAATATGCTCTGCTGGGAAGGCCATTGAAACATTCACAAAAAGTAGTGGATGTAGGTGAGCCATGGATATATGCTGAAGCATTCAATATTATCCTTCAAAAACAAGTTGAAATCCTGATTCAGCTTGGAGCATCTCCATCTTTAAAGGTTAGATTTTTTTTATTGTAATATATTTATATGTAAATAGAAAAACAAATAATTACATATATTTTCTTCTATTGCACTTGCCAAAAATAATTGTTTTTCAGCTAATGTTTGTGATTAACCAATGAGAAATATATTTCAGAATAAAGAAAATTTTCATCCCACAATTAAAGAAAATACAGTAGGTTGAACAAAAATTACTGTTTTGAAAAAACTTAAATCTTAAATACATTTCTTCTTAAGTAAGTTAAATTTAGACATCTAGAATAAAATAATTTGATATGAAGTGCTACACAAGAATCAATATATATATATAGTAAATATTTTTATTAATGAAAAACCACGGGTTATTTTTAAACCTGTAATATAACTAAACAGCAACCTTCAAGGCTTATAACAATAGAATTTGGGGCTCAATTTCTTAGAATGAAACAGCATAGGTTTTGAAGCTTTGCACTAAAACAGTACAATTTGGTAATTGTCATGAAAAATTTAATGTTATAAGTAGGGTTGGGCAGTTTGTGGCAGTTGCTAACCTATTAATTGATGACCTCTTTAGTCAATTACATTTGATTAGTTGATTAGTTTAGTGATACTCAAACCGTGGTACATACAAACATATATAAAAATTGCAGTTAGATGCTGCCAACTAATTTTCCTCTATCTAGTCAGCAGTTAAAAAAAAAAGATAAAAAAGTAGGGTGGTGGATGCTCTGCCAGCCAGTTGTCTTCTCTTCAGGCAGCAGCTGAAAATTAGTGACAGTGGTAAATAGCTTTAGTAGCCTTGACATAACAAAGGCAAGCAAGTTTGGTGGCAATGAGACCCTCAAATCATGAGCCCCAAAATTTACAAGGCTAAAGTTGGGCAGAGCACAGATAGACTATTATGTAGCTTTATTTTTAATAACAAGCATAATAGCAATATCTCCATTACTTGGATAGTTGGAAGAATAAAATTCCAGTTAGTTGATTATTTTCATGACAATTGATATAATCATACGTTTGACTGATTGATTGTTGAAATAATCTGATCTAAAACAGTAATAATTGAAAACCCTGATTTTGATTCGTTGGTTATTTTTATGACAATCAATTTAATTGTAATTTTAATTAACTGACTGTTAGAATAATCAAAAACAGTAATGATTGGAATCACTCATTTTTGACAAATTAATTTAAATATTATTTTGATTAAGGAATTAGTTTAGTTGATCAATGAATCAGTTTACTTGACATTAATTTGTCTAATTGCTGTATTAAGAGTAAAGAACAATAACAACCTTTGTTTTGACACTGAAATATAAAGCCTTTATTAGATATTTCAACCAAATAGTTTTGGTAACATAGTTACCATTATCAGTGCAGCTTACATATTTAACAAAAGGTGAGAAAAATGGATTTCACTAAGTTTCAACAGCTAGGACAGCTGATGTTAATAGTTGTGATTGTTAGTTATTCAAAAACATATGTAAACTAAAAGAGAGTTTTTGCCCTTTTTTCAGCTATTGGTTGATTTGTAGAATAGAAACCAGCTTTCAGATATTTTGTGTAACCCATTTAGTTTTAGTTTTACAGAATCAGTGCATGATGATTGCTTGTGAATCTAGGATTTTAATGGTTGGCAACCTGTTTTTGATAACCAAAATTATTAGAACACTGTTAAAGACATTCATAACATCTTTTAAACATAACTTGAACACACTAAAGAGTAACACAATGTCCCTAATTTGGAAAAATTCACTGAACAACCGAGTGATTTATATATATCAGTCTCCATGATGTATATCAATGTTTGAAATGAAGAAACCCTCTTTATCATCACATGATGCCTGCTGAATGATAAGACTAACAGGTAGAATTGATATAAAGATAGATGTGATGCCATCATGGAACTAATCATGATTTGCCTACAATCCATGAATTTTCAATACAACAATCAAGAAACAAGAGGTCTTGCCATGGAATCACCACACTCTCCCGTTAACACTTTCAGCATGGGCTTGGTCCCTGGGACCGACCTTATAACCATTTTGAGCTTGTTATAGTTTTCATGCTATAACTTTTAAATTAGCAAGTGAATGTTAACAAAATTTGGCAGATTATCAGTAAACATTACAATGCTTTCATATTCAAAATATCAAATTATTGTATTAAGTCTCAAGGTTTATAAAGCAATCTTTTTTTCGTGTCTATTTTTTCTTTTTGCATGTTGCCTATCTATCATGCAAAGTAATATTCATTTTAAGACTAAAAAATATTTTTATGCATCAGAAAATTTTGAAATTTCACATGCGAAATCTTTATAATGTCAAGATAGTTATCAAATGTTTGTTAAGAAAAAGCTATATATTTAACCGGTAATTTTATCTGTTATCTTCAGTAATTAATCTCTGTACGGGTTCAGTAGATTTGACTGATCTCACAACCACCATAAAAAAATTAGGAAATAAATATAAATTATGCATCTTTCATTCTGGAATGAACACAAATTATAACATGAAAACATAAATGTTTAGACTAAATAGTTTAAATCTCATAACATTATACATTTATATATATTTATGATATTGACCTTTTAGCTGTGCCTGGCTAACAATATAGAAATTACAATGATGTGTCTCATGTGCACTCATGTTACTGTATCAAATAACATAAAACTGTAACTTGTCTTGGCTGTGTTTTAGTAGACTAGTATTTTGTAAAATACAGTCACATTTCCATTATTATACATTATATATATGTATGTAGATTATTACTATTTAGAAATAAGTTCTTAAACATATTTTCCTAAAACATAGAACAGTAAATAAAGAAGCAAAGCAACCAATTATCTCTTCTAGTTACAACCTTTGTACTCCGTTCCTGCTTTGCGTAGGTTGCTAAGCCTTTAAAAATTTTGCATGTGGAAGATATGAAACAAAATATTTTTTTTTAGGTTTTATATGTACATTTGAATAACTAAAAGATCATAAATTACTACATCAATACCATAGAATTCCACTATAATTTATAAAGTTTAGTAACTAATGTATTTTAGTCTAAAAAATATGAAATTTTGAGCAGACTAAAGACATACCCTACCTCGTTGAAACATTAAAATGGCCAAAAAAGCCACTAGGGGGACATTCTGAGCTTCTGATTGGTTATTCATGTCATATATATAGAAGTAAGTGTATATAAGGGAGCATTTCCCAAAATGTAAAGAGGTAGGCAGGATGCCACTGTATTTGATTTATTACATGAACAATGTCTTAGCAAATTGAAAAAATAAGAGGAACTTATTTTATATTCTAGCTTGTCAATATCGGTCATTTGAGTTGATAATTCTATCGAAATTATATACTTATTATTTTGACTTCACAAACATTTAATTTGAACCAGTGCTGCATTCAGCATACCATGTGACACTCAAAAATCAATGTTTATCTGTGTTTTTAATATTTGCTTTTAAATTAAGAAATTGAGTAATATATATAGTACTAAAAGTTTAATTATAATCTACAGTTTGATACAAAATTATTGTCATAAATTCATGAAATAGTAGTTTAATACAATTTTGAATGCGAGTCAACAAACGAGATGACATGGCCTTTCACCTGTAACCCGTCTCTAAAGGGTTAAACAGATACTTTCATTCAAAAATTTGTATGTTGACCTTTCACCTCTATAGACAAAAAACCCAGTTTTTACAGACAGTCTATTGATGACATGTTAGTTATCTTTCCCTTTGATCATGAAAATTTGCTTGCCTTCCTACAATGCCTAAACTCCATATACAACAGATTCCATTGTATCATGGAAACAGAGAGCCACAACTGCCTTTTGTTCATCAAATATAATGACAGACTGACTACTGCCATTTACTGGAAACCAACACAAACTGATACTTACATTTTCAGTCACATCATCCACCTTTTGTTAGACACAGGATGATTCTCTGTTGCACAACAGATCCTAAAACATCTGTTATGCAATGAAAAATTCTTCAAAATCTTATGTTCAAACATCATTCAGTATTTTAAATAGAATGCAAAATATTATAAAAAACAAATAATGCAAACTTATCATAACATTCTCCCTTATCTGCAAAACTTAAGCTGAAAATTATATGAGTTGCCAAGCAGTTCAATGTTGGTTTCTGCTGGAATCTTACAAAACACTCGGTTACATCCTTGTTAAAACTAAAGAAAGAATAACTTATGACAGACATAAATGCTTCATTTATGAAATACCATGTTCCATAAAACAGATGTACATTGGAGTGACTGGAAGATATTTTAGGGACAGGATGAAGGAACTTAAAGACTGTAGGAGACTGACAAAAAAACAGCATTTCACCAATGCAGAACATTCAATAGACTGGAACAATAATAGACTCATTTGGTTCAGATAAGTTCTGGAAATCAAGAAAAATCAAGGACTCTTTCTATGTTAAAATTATTAAAGCTTCACTAAATGAGACTAAAGTACAGGAACCAGCAGTATATGGCCACCATTGTTTTACTAACTACAACAAAGATCCACTAGCCAATCACAACACCTTCTCAATCACACAGACACTATAACATAACCTCTTGCAGTCTATGTCAAGCTGACATGAAAATAAAAGGCAGAAGGCTTTCAAAACATCTTCTAGTCTAATTGTGCTACATTGTAAATTTTCAAAATTATCTGTACAATTGTTGTCCTGAACTCTTAACAGTTGTTGCCCATTTCAACTTTGTTTCATTCAACCCACCAACTAACTGAGGTGGTCTTGGTGATAACCACAATTAAATTGTAGACTGAATAATCCAGAAACTCTCGTCAGAATGAGCTAGCCTTATAATCAGGGCTTGCTCTTAACTTTTTTTTTTGTAACCAGCTGGACTACCTAGACATGTCTTTTGGGTGGCCAGGCAGCAGTTTAGGTGGCCAATGTATTTTTTTTCTTATTTTGTAATGAAGCTACCCATAAATGAATGAATTGTACTATGACCTATAGATCTTTCCACAAGAAAATT